ATACAAATACCCACATGGATAATATCAAGAACTTTCCAAAGATGTGGTTATGTGGCTCATTGTTTGGCACAAAATCCACTCCATGTGTTCAAGGACCAGGAGACCTATACATTCCTCTGAGCGTTAGTGTTAGGACACACAGGCTCAAGAAGTGCTCTGGTTCATTTGGTGAAATATCACAGATCTACGCTAGGGAGTTATGTAGTAATTACATGGATACTCTCACAGGAAAGCAAGAAAAAAGGTAAGGAAAATGACCAAGAGATTAAGCACAAGTCCCCATGTGCCTTGCAGAACAACCCCTCCCCTTCTCCCTGAGGGGATGAGTAGGTGCCAACTTCACTCCACAATGTTCTGGCACATTCTAGAGAAGGTTTAAGTGAGAAAGACTTACCAATCCCACTTCTAATTTTTCCCATGCATCTCTATATATGCCCATCAGCTGGAACCTGAGATGAAAAAGTTCCCTTTCCTTATAATAAGCAGAACAAAGAGAATATGTTTCCACGGTGTTTGTAATATATAAATTAAATCTGTCCTAAATACTAACTGTGAGACATTTATACCACAGAATGTGCACAGCAAAATAATGAGATTCTGTCATTTAGTAACTTCTTGTGACCATCCTTTTTTATAACCATCAGCACATAAAGCCATCGTTCCGAAAGGAAAAAAAATTGTATGGTCAGTAGGAGACCTGTGTATCTATCTAGTGTGATGCTTAGAAAGATGCTGTGTGTTTTAGGAAGCTCTGCATTCTGCAACCTCACACCAAGGCAGACCCCATCCTTACTGAAGGTCATTTTATATCATTTCAGCTCGGACGGCGCTTATGGTGGATGCGTCTAGATGGATAACATGACTTCCTGTACCCTAAAATAGTCCTAGAATACTTTGAGCTTTTCTGCCTCCTCTATTAATCTAAAATTTGATTGCTTCCATTTCTATTTTCAGTCCCTTTTTCTTGTTCCCTATGAACCACAAATTTGTATAAAACTTGTGGTTCTTGCCACTGCAGAGATTGGACTTCAGTTTTTGTTTTTAGGGTGTTGCTCAATAAAGCTGTGTATACTGATCACCCATCCTCTGTGAGTGGGCCTCACTCTGTCCGTGGGAGGTTTCATTGTCTGCAACTCAGGTCACTTGACTTAAGTGCAGCCCCACTGCTCGGCATCTACCCAGAAAGCTGTATACAAATCAGCTTAACCTTGGGGATTCTTGGTACCCCCATTTCAAGTCTTTAATGATAGCAGCTGTTAAATGGTTGTTAGAAAGCTGAGTTTCTACCCCAGTTTGAAAATCTTTAGTCTTTCAGTGGAGGTGGTGGGTCTTCAAGGGAAGGCTTTGTGTTAGTGTGAGGTGCATGTAAACAAAAAGTACCAAGCTGGGCTCTGTATCATTTGCAAGACCCTAGAAGATAATTTCTAAGACTCTCGAATTAAGGATCCTTGAGGAATGGGTAATCACTAAATGAATGAGGCAAGAACAAGGGCCTCTGGCCAGACCTTAGTGAAGCTAAAGAGCCAAGGATTTAACAAGCTTTAAAACTTTTCTGTCCACTGAGCCAGGGCCATTTTTATGTAAAAGGAAAATAATCTGAACGGCTCTGAAGAAGTGATTTGGGAGCTGGTTTCTTGTTGCTGATGCTGTCTCTCTCACTTGATGATGCTGGTATTGACTGGCTTCTGCTTTCTTTACCACAATACACACTAAGGTGGATGCAACTACATCATGCCAATTAAAGGCATAATTAAAGGTCCTTTTCCTTCTATAACTAGAGGCAGACTAATGAAACATGATCTAGAACCTAGTCCCCACTTCCATCACGTCCCAATGGCCCCTTAATAGAGCCAGACAGTTTTAGGAAAACTTGCACAGATATTTTATGGAGACAGTGCTGACAGTTGGTACTTAGGAATCTTGGTGATCAGAGGATGATGAAGCAGACTGTGAGCAAGCTGAAATCACTAAAGCAAGGTCCTCACGGCAGAGCCCTTCCTGGCATCACCCCCTCCAGTCCTTTACAAGCCTGCTGCTTTGATCTTCAGAAGGCACTAGATGTGCCTTTGAAGTCCTTTGCCATTCTAGTGACCTGCCTCGTGCAGATTGGAGCTCTGAACGCACCACCATCTGCCATCTCCCCGGTTCTTATACTCTTTTCCAACTAGATACTCAACTCACTTTTCCATTAGCTAAAAGGAAGATGGAATTCTTAAAGGCACCCACCCACAGTCCTGGGAAGTCTTCAGGCATAACATCTGTGTATTGTTTGAACAAATCTATACTCAACGCTAGTTAGCAATTGAGTCAGAAGTGGGTAAAACAACAAATTCATAGACCAATTCATTTCATTCATGGCATAGTGCCCCATAAGATCCACTTTCTCTTTTGGCATCATACCTTTCTTGTAAAATCTTAAGGATATGCCCCATTCCTTGTTTAGTGTGTAAACAAAAGTCATCTACCTCTTTCCCATGTTAAATAAGCTGCTATAATTATGGCCCATCCTCTTCCCTAACCACAATGCCACTTAAAAGTATGAATGGCTAGTTTCTTTTATTTTTAATATTGAGAGCATGGTTTAAGGATTTCATAAGAATTTTCATGGTTATAACTTTTAAAGGGGCAATATTCACAAAAATATTGTATATATTTAATAACCACCTTGACTATTATATATAGCACCTAGCCAGATCTTACCCTTCTTTAAATATTAGAAAATTGCTTATATTGCTTCTGAATACAATCTAACATACTTTTTCCATTTTCCATTTTTTATTACTGCCACTGCATAAAGCCCTGTAGTATCTGTGAGAAGGGCACCTAC